CACTTTGCTTCAGCATTTGTGGATTCATGACTTCGAATCGTTTTCAGTTGAACATCTCTTTACCTAACTTTATATCATCAGAAAGTTCTATTTAAAGGATCAATAAGTAAAAAAACCATACTGTGAAATTAACCAAATCTTCAAATTCTCATTTGTCACCCAGTATGGAGGGAACATTCCCTGTAAACAATCTGTCCTTTCATTCAATAACATCTTGGTCACATTTTTCAAACTTCAAACTAGAGGAACTACTTCGGTGCAGTTTTAAATCTGTGTTTACTTCCTGCTTCCTCAGCAAATCACATGAGAATAACCAGGGGTTGCTTGAACAGGCAGCAGTATTTGGTGTTTTATCTCTGCAACAGGGAAGCAGCCCTGAAGCCCACGAGAAGTAGATCAGAAATACTCAGTCATTTAATGTGGCTAAATTGCTTCTTTCTTCGTCTCAAATTTAGCTGAACTACTTTCTTAACTCTCCTGACCTTACAGCCTGCATGGTACTCTCCGAAGGGGGTCTGCTGCAAACCCTTTGGACATAGTTCTGATTTGAAACACTAGGTGTCACTATTACTAATTGCTCTTAAGTTATTTTGCTATTTTTTTGCCTGTTTTTTTTTAGGTCTGGTAGTAATATGGCATTGATGTGCTTGTTAAAATTAAAAATTTTTTTTGGTGATGCAGAGTTAATTCATGATTTATTTCATCAGTTTTTTCTCATTGTGCAATGTTGATGTTTTAGATTTGTTTTTTCTGCTTGGGTTCTACCCCACAGGACTTTAATAACAGGCATGGCCTCGGGAAGCATCGTAGCGTTCAACATCGACTTCAACCGTTGGCACTACGAACACCAGAACAGGTACTGAGGCGGACGGCATGAGCCGGACAAGGGAAGGAGTGCTACATCACTGCTGTGCCTCAGGGGGAAACCACAGGTACCGAGACAAAGGAAAATTTAGTTTCAGACCTTAGGCTCTGTTCCTTTGCATTGAGGATGCAACAACGCCGACGGGAACAGCCTCCTCTGTGCACACGTGTGTAACCACAGACGCATAATAACCAGAAGATCTACACCGAAATCTGCTTCAGTAAAACAACACAGTGGCTGCAACATGAGGGCAGGGAGAGAGTGAAGCAGAGGTTGATCCTCACGGAATGGGTCAATTTCACTCTTCCTTGTATGTTCTAATCATAAGACATACTCAAGTCTTTTTTTATTCATATTTTTTTTCCATGTTTTATTTCTCCTTTTTGATTTCATTTATCAATTATTTGGGTGAAATATAAATGAAAAATCCTTTTCTTGTCTCTAAATGTAAGCACCAGCCTCTTTAACCATTGTCCTGAAGTCGGTGCTATTGGCTTGATCTTAAATTTACCCCTGAAAAATCACCTAGGGTGTTTATTTAGATTTTATCTTGTTTGATTTTAATCTGCCTAAATTATTATTATTATTATAGATTTTTTTTTTTGTTTCCAATTCTGATTTAATGTAAATATGGCTCTCCTTCCTTCAGAGTCACACTCGTTCTTTCACTACACAAAATGCGCTTCTCACCTTTAATTTATTAATGACTTGCTGTATGTAAAGTACTGTGTAATAATTATTATAATGTCGACAAGACTGATGGTAAAACCAGTGGAACCAAGGATGATGGGGTTATTTTTATTTTCGTTTAGTTTTATTTTCCGGAGAGGGTTAATATAAAAAGCTTTTTTTTTTTCTGTGCCACTACGGATGGTAAACACGAGACTGACATCATTTCCTTTGTATATTTGGTGACTGTTTTGTCAAATATGTACATACAGTCTTGGTTCAGGTGTGGCAGGAGGCTTACCGGGCTGACTGGGACTGAAAGAGCAAAGGAAACCTTCACATACCCACATTTTTCGATTATTTAAAAAAAGAGCTACAACTCTGTAAAAGTTTGTTTTGTATCTGCACTTTGCACCAATCACATATCATTATTAATTAGCTTTTAGTTTTTTTTGTTTGTTTGTTTGTTTTTTCCGGTCAGCTGCCTTTCCGTTTAGGCTCCACATTTTTTTCTTCCCTCGGGAATTATTTGTGCATCAATGTTTGTATTTAAAGAAAACTGTTGAGCTCATGTGTGATTCTTCAGTTTTACAACCTCACAGTTGTAAGCAATATCATGATTCTGTAGCTGACAGAGAGAGAGACAGCGAGGAGGAGGAGGAGAGAGGACGGCGTGTGACACGTACTGTATGTGTGAAGCCATCATGATCAAACGCGCACATGCACATACTCTTATCAACAGGCTCAAACTTACGTATCCAAAAAAGAAAAAAAAAAAAGCTTAAATATTTTTGGATCTATGAAACAGACAAACGAAAAAAAATACAAACAAAAAAAAACTATTGTATTCATGTTTTATTGCAAAGATGTAAAATATGACATGTGTGAGTTGGGAAAAAATCATGAGAAAAATAAAATATGCAAAGAATTTGAGGTCTTGGCTTTTAATTCAGCACTTTGTCTGTCTGTTGTTTGCCTGATGTTCATCCAAGTCGATAAAAATAATTTGTTATGCTTACAGGATACAGAACAGCCTCTGATTAGTGGCTTTACTGCAACAAGTTGGTTAAAGTTTGCAAGTTTTTATTCGTTTTTTATGATGCAGCAGTTATTGATCCCCCTCTACCCAAAACACAACAAAAATAAAACTCCCTTTGAAATAAATACATGCATAATCCTCACTGTAAACTAACATTTTAGGTTAATCAGAGTTGTAATTCTTGACTCACTGTTGCATTAAAGATATAGTGAAGGAAATTATTTTTTCCCGGTGGATCATCGAAATAAATGGTCCTCCTAATTGTCAATCATTCTGATATGTTTACGTAAGGCCGTCCTACATGCTTGTCCCCATTCTGACTTACCGATGGCGAGTCTGACATAGTGGAAAAATTGCAAATATCCTTTTGGAAAGTGAGCTTGTATGGGCAATCCAAACAGCAACTCTTAAACAGAGTGTGCACCAGGAGAAATGAGCTTGTGCACACTCTTGCACGTCTTTAATAGACGTTCCCGAAGAGGGGTGGGTATTTGCATTTTTTTAAAGGGGATAGGGCAGGTCTAATGACATTATTCAGACAATGGCTTTTAGAAAATCACTAAATCAATCCTTTCAATTGCTCCCCTATTCAGTGGTCACCAAAGTAAATCATCACAACCAGCTCACAACAATTAGGTTTTTTTTGTTTTGTTTTTTTGCTGATACGCTTCCTTATAAAACTGGATTAAAGCCTTAGCCCCATCATTACAGTCATACTTAAACCTCTTCACTATAGGGGCCGGTTTAAAGTAAAACATTCAAAGAAATAATCATGTCTACACACACAGTGAAAGGGGACAACATCAAACACCAGTTCAGTGTTAAAAAAAAACTGCAGCACAAATGGCACACTTTTTCAGTCCCATCACTATTAACATAAAAATGATGGTGTTGTGTGATTGGACAAAAAATATTATCATTATATATGACAATAAAAACCCTCTTCATTACCTTTTTATTGTATTTCTTAGGTTGTATGGTTCTGCTTGCTCAGCAGTTGTAGCACCAAATTCACAAGTACTACTCTCATAAAATAAACACATTTAAAATAGACTTCTTTATGACACCTGTTATATAGAAACATGTGATATTACTCAACATCCCATAGCAACCGGATAAAGTTGAATCTAATCTATTCTAATTTAATCATAGGCCTATTTTTTAAATTAGCTAATGTCCAATGGAATAAAAATAAAAGTTCTAAAGATTTATTTATTTTTTTAATCCTCATTATCATCAGAATGATAAATATCTAATATCGTCTAAATGAGTGATTCCCACCAGGTGGTAATTGGACCCCTATGGTCCGCGAGTGCATTGCATGAGTTAAATATTTTATTTCTCAGGTAATAAAATAGGGCTAGGAGCTGTTCTATGTTGTGGGGACCCTATTAAAAAAATAAAACATGCTTTTTTTCAACCAAACACTAAGTTTTTGTTATATTTATGAGTTCACCTTCAGCTTTGCCAAACTCAAAACCAAGCAGAGGAACAGACAGGATTTAGAGAACAGCCTGGGCTCAGCTGATTTCCCACACCTGATCAAAGCAAGCTCATGTGACATTAAAGGAATAGTACACCCAAAACATGATTAGCCTTCATTTTCTACTC